ATCACTGGATAATTTGAAAGGAGGATAACACTCGGCGATAATAGGGAGTAGGCATTTTAATGCTCATCGCAATGAGGTTGATTGTAATTGCTGACTGAACCAACGAATAGATAGTCAAAATCGATGTCGTTTCATGCAAACAGCATAAGATGAGTTTGCAGCTATCACTTACGAGAAAGGCTCGTCGATGTATCGCATGGCACGTCTGACGCTTGGTGACCAGGCATTCCAAGAGGCACTTCAAGACTACATCCGAACGTATCAGTTCTCGAACGCCGATCATGAGATGCTCTTCGCTAAATTCACAACAGTCAGTTACACGTTCTTGCAAACATTCTCGTCTTACTATCAAAAACTAATGCATTGTTTCAGTCGTTTTTGAATGTTTAGGCCGCACAACGTCACGCGAAAACGGATTGGTGTGGTCGTCCATTGAACGTTACGAAGTTCCTCGATCCGTGGTTCCTTCAAGAGGTATGACCTACACTCATTTGTCCGCCTCCAGCGTGATCGTGCTATTTCTGTGGGTATAACTGTGCATTGCGGGCAACTTTTTGTTGAATTGTTGAATTGTCGATAATCGGTCTCATATTTCACTTATTCACAAATCAACAATTATAAATCATCCCGACTCCATGTGCCACTAATATCTTACAACTAGTTATCACATTCTGCTCTCTCTGATCCCTTCTTTCCGCACACCCAGCAATATCAGCTCAAGGAAACATCCATCTCCTAAAAGAATGATTAATGATGTGGCGATGATCGAAGTGATTTGGAAGTGGATCATCAAAGCTAGATCAGTTACTAAACATTCTAAACGCTTTGAATGCAGCTTTTTCTTACCGAATGCATGGTGCTTTTTAGCAATAGTGATCGTTCATGGCTTTTGTGTGATAAACTATTATTATTATCACCAGCAATATCTACCAAAGTACACTTTCGCAACAACAATAATTTTCAGTGTTTCCCACTGTTGACCGTAACGAACAACCAGCCCACATCACCCGCACACGTAACTCAACAACCGTTCAACAACATTTCATCACTACCCATCAGCAAATTCCCTTACAATTACAGCTGGCCAATCCCATTAGTGAGTGAGAATTACAAAAACGCCACGCCGCATTTCAGTTGGATAAAACCGGGTTCGTGCTCTAACTAATAATGAGTTTTAGGCTCGGGAAATTTCACATTCAGCCAAGGAATTGCAGACTTACTCGCAACACTGTTGCTTCAATCAAGCTGTATCTCTCTTGAAGCAATGAGATTAATGAAGGGATAACTGTGATAGGCTATTGATATAACTGAGATCCAACATTTTGGTTTATTCAATTGAAAGCTGTGCTGTTGGCACTGTTGACACCGTTCACTAAACAATTTGTTTGCGTTATACACGAACTTCGGAAACTTTTCTCCGTTCTAGCTTGGGATGAGAGTTGCCCAAGCGATCAAAAGGCAATGAAGGTGGCTGGTAAAGCAGAGAGGAGTATTGCGAATCATTGGGATTACGAG